ATAGAACTATTTTGGCTGGTGAAAAAGTTGGCATAGCTTGGCTTCTGCCAAATGAGCCAGGTGTGTATTGGTGTGGGTTTTTTCCCCAGCTTTTCTGTGGCTATGATCTCTGCAGGTTTAAGCTTGCTTGCATTGCTCTTCATGTTATACTAAACCTTCCTTTGCAAAAAGTACTTTGCTATGAAGACCTAGTTCCCAGTCCTGCACTGCAGTTCCTGGAGCTGATGTCCTGCACCAGCAGACAGTCCCAGAGAAGTCAGGGAGGTTCTGCACAGGTGCTACAAACCCATCGATGTGCATCAGATTGCAGGATCAGGGCCTTAGTCATCAGGAGGGAACAGATGTGCTGCTGCCCTCTCAAGCCAGACCTGTCAAGAATGATCTACAGGCAGCGATAGCAGCAGCAAAGTGGGACCTTTTCAGCTCTTACTGTTTTTCACTCCAGTTTGGTGTGAGCTTCAATGTTACTTAATAGTAATGCTAACTTAAGTGTTACTGTATAATAACCATCAGAAATATAATTTATTCAAAACGTAAAGTGAAGTTTTAATTGCCAAGACCTGCTTTGCAATCCTAATCTGTATCATGTGTGATATCACAGACAAGCTCTTCTCAAACGGACTTTTGCTGATCCTGTTGCTCTTCTACAGATGTGTGACCCTTGCGTTTCACATAATTGAAAGTTTTCTGACCAGTTTTTGTCGTTATATTTCATTTCACATAACTAGAATTGAAGATTTGTAATGGAGCCAATTAGTGTTTCTTGAGAATTTTTCATTCCCTATCTTGCTGTGATGTTACTGGCTGTTTTTATGAAGTTACTGGCTGGGTTTTGCACAAATGTCATTGAGTACTCCCAACCCATCAACCTATTTAGCTGAATTTTGAATCTGCCTTTTAAAAACAAAATGTAACACCCCCTCCTCTTTTCCCCCCACTAGTGAAGAAATTAAGTTTTTAGCTAGGCTCTATTTTACACTTTGTCTAGGAGGGCTTTTATGGCTGCTTATAAATAAAACTAATTTTAAGAGGCTTTTTTTTCTATCTGACCATCGATGATATCCAGTATGCAATGTATAATGGGGGGAAAAGGGAAGATGTGATTAATCATATAAGACTTTTACTCGGAAGTATGGATGAAGAATGACGTAAAGACTGTAGCACGACTCAGAAATAAAAGTTTATTCTCCTGTGTAAGGTTGGAAATACTACTATTGTGGTAGCAGTACTAAAAATCCTGGTGTCTGTATGGAGCGCTTCCTCAGCCGTTAGTTCTGGGCACTCATTAACAACCTTTTGCTCCATATTAGGGACTGTGCTGAGAAAGGAGCCTGGTTTGTACACATCCATGCTCTTTTCGCACAGCTGGAAGTTGAATCCAGTTCAGCATTGTCAGAAAATACCTGAATGCTTCGAAAGGACAGAGCAAAGCATTTAGTTTGAAGTGAAGTTTTTGTTAATGAAATATCTGTTAATTTGCAGATGCAGTTACTTGCTTTTGCTGTCAATAGTGTCAATTCATGCCCAACTGACCCACAAATGCGTTAGCGTGATCCCTCTCTTTACCTGACCGTATGCAGTTGGTCTCATAAAACCATCCGTGCAGGGCATTTCTGGGAATTTCTCACATTTTCAGAGGTTTATAGGTACTGGCTTTTGTCTCTTGTGTCTTTTAAGACCTAAGATGGTGGTGTTCATTGTAACTACAAGGAATGTCCGTGTTTGTTACTTCAGGAAACAGGACCTGGTATATGATCGCTTCCCATCTTGCATTACTTTTGTTCATTTGTTCCATTCATTCACTTTCTTTACTAGCCAATTTTTCATTACTCTGTTGAACGTCGAGTGTCATATTGGCATGGCAAACATTTACCTTGAATTCATGCTTTTGAAGTTTTTCCTTTTTTAATTTTTTGCCTAGGCAATTTCATGCAAAACATGTTAGAAAAGAGATGAGCCATGTTACAGAAAGGGCTGGTCAGAAGTCTCATATAACCTGATAAACCCAGTCTCACTCCTGTCTTTACTACATACGTAAAACATGATAATTTTTCTCTGTTTTCAGCAACACTGAACTTTGATATCAGATAATTTATTAACAAAGTTTATTAAATAATATTGTTGCAGCACTCTCCTCGCTTTACAACTAAAGTATGTGCTCATTGTCACAAAAGGGTTAAAATCCAATTCAAATGTTCACCTGTCTTTCATATGACAGCGTATATTTCTGATGTTTCTTTGAAGTAAATTTGTGATAGTTTGCTTTAGAAAACAGTAAAAGAATGACCCCCCCGACTAATTGTTAATTGCTCAGAATATTGCAAAACTTAATGATACGTGGAAGTCTCTAAGTGTTAGCCATAAATCATGGGATTATGAATAAGCCTTTGTTGTCACAGGCTTGCATACAGTCATTCCAAAACGTCTGCCATTAGGATGCAGCAAGGCAGCTGTCAGCTGTTTTCTTGTAATTAAACAGCCAATGAGCAGCTAATTAAGACATATGTGTATACAGAAGTGGAAGCGGGTATGTTAATGAACTGTAGGAATCAATTCATTAAATGAAAATTTGTCAAAAGACCAAACATGAGATCAGCATTTCAGCCTGTGGTGCAGTGGAGCGGGAGTCTGTGCTGTGCCATGTGGGACATCAGGGAAGCACAACTGGCTTTTCACCTGCGAAGGAGCAAGCTGAGACACCAATGTCTGTAATACTGAGCCACTGAGCAGGGAAGTTATTGAAACTATTAATAGAATTTGCAAAAATGGCTATTTACATTTCAAAGTTCTTTTTTGACAACTTGTTATTCAAACTGACTTGCAGATGAAAAGTTCTTGCACCCTTTTTTCCCAAACTTGATTTCTTGGCAGCATATGAAAAACCATATATTGTGTTGTATATGTCAATAGGAGTCTGAAATGCAGAGATGAAGCTATGGCTTGTAATCTGCTCTCCTCTTCTTCTGGCACTGTGTTAATGTGCCTGCATAAAAAGGGAGACATGCAAAGCTCAGTGACACCTCATCAAAATCGCTGGATCTTTACACTGACACCAGGAGGAGGCAGGGCTCCAGGCACTCCCTACCAGCGCCCTGGGGTCAGCCCGTGCCATCGGTCAGGCTGGTGTAACACAGTGGCTTCTTCGGTGCAGCAGCAGCTCTGCTTGTGTGCTTGATCGGACGGGTCCGCTCTGCCCGTGGCCATTAGGCAACTGTCTGAACGTGAAATCAGGGTTGTGAACATGCATGCCATTAAAAGCATGTGGCCTGGGCTGGTTTGCGTAGTGCTTCAGTGTGTACACGTGTACCAGGCATACATCCACCTCCTCCTTCCTGGTGGAGAAATTATAGCTAGCTCTGTGCCTCTGGCAAAAGTGAGGAAATAGAACAACAGAATATAGCGTCTCTCCTTCTCTTCTAATAGAGGGGGGGAAAAAACAACCTAGGAAGAAACATACATTCAGAAGGCTCCTGTAATAGGGGCTTCCCCACATGTCTTACAATGGTATGAGAGCCTAAGGACCACCAGAAGGTTAGAAAACTCACAAATAAATGAAAACAATATAGAAGAACTTTAAGAGTAGAAACCCCTCCCTTTAACTTCATGGTCAGTTCAGTCCCAGATCTCAGGTATGTGTATTTCTGAGCTCTGGACAAGTTCAGATTAATTTCTGAAGTTTGAGGCAAGGCGGGTTTTTTGCTTTAGCTACTCCTGATGTTTTCAACATAGCCAGATAACATTGTAGGGTTTCTTTTTAAAAGCATTCTACTACATCTCTGGTTTGTAAAGTGCAAGTGCTTTTAAAGGCCCCAGTGTCGGGCAGTTCTGCTCTATTGAAAATTTAGCTTCAAGCTGTAACTTAGCTGATATATTGTACACTAAAATGTATTGAGCAGCTGTGTCTCTAGGGAAAACCTGGAAAAGCAAAAAGCCCAGTATTTTCTCCATTATAATACTAAAAATAATCCTCAGCCTGACAAGACTATTCTTAATAAAGATAAATATGCCAAACTGGCAATACAGACTCAGTGTATGTCTCAGCTAAAGGAAAATGTATAGATCTTTGAGATTATTGGGCCAGGTTCATTTTATTTATTGATTAAGCTGACTTTCAGGATCTCAGTGGTGACAGGAGATTTCACACAGTTTGTATGTGAGCATGTCGTTCAGTGCAACTGCTAAAGGTGTTTGGAGGACTGAAATTTTAAGGGGCTGGTAATGCGAAGATGCAGAACCTTGATCAGTATCAGCTCAATCCCTAATCCCATTTTTGTAGTGAATTGCACTGCACTTGCGTGTGCACTTGCACTGGAGTGACAGGCTCCCCTAAGGATGCCGACAGTGCTGGAGATGGAGTTACCTACTTACCTAGGAGCTGGTTCCTCCAGAGGGGTCAGTCATGATGTTGGAACAGTAGACATTTGCATGGTGTTTCAGGTTTTCTTTACGGTGAAAGGTGCTCTATCAGAGCTCAATATGTGCAACACCTTCAGTCTCAGTGGCGATCATCTCACTATTGACAAACATTAAAAAACAGTTGAAAGTTCAACCATATGGAAACAAAGACCATAATACATGGGTGAGAAACTGTACAAGAGAAAAGGAATAAAGACAGGCGTTTTCAGTTTCCTCATTTTTTATGCTCCACGTTTCCCCAGTAAAGCTTTAATAAAAGGGGCATAACCTACAAAAACTGATGCCCTCCTTATGAGATGGAGCAAGGGGGGCCTTATCACAATGTGTGGTCATGTTGCTGTCTGCAGGAAGTTTGCTAGGAAGACTGGACAGAGCATGCGTGTGCTGAGGGACTCTAGAATGTGGCCTTCAAATAAATAAAAAATTGGTAAAAGTCCAGCTTTAATTAAAAGGTGCCCAGCCTTTCTGAGGAAGTATTTTCTTTGCAGCACTGTTAATTAATCCATTATGTGGCAACATAAAACTAAAATACTGTGCTCACTGATCTCAAATGCCTCTTTAGAATGACTACATCTTCGCAGAATCCTTGTGAAGTAGGTATTACACACACGCCAGCCTGTGTTTGGACAGTCTATAGCAAAAAGATGAAATGAACTTCAAAGCAAACAGCTGGCATCGTGGTTAATAACATGCACAATTCTGATGGAGAGAACCAAGTTGTAACTACTCTGTAACATTCTGGCGCCAGCTTTCTTTGGAGATGGGCTTACCTGTTGCGGTTGCCTCAGAAACGAGGTAATACATAAGGTCTGTTTCAGCTTCGCCCCCTGCTCCGCCACCCCCTTTAAAACTCTAAATCCTGTGCCGAGCTGAACAAAACTTCGGTCATCAGCATCAAACTAATTAAGAAAAAAAAACATTTAAAAATTTGGTTTTTATAGAAGGAACTGCTCAGCGTCATGCCTTGAGTTTTAAACAGTTACAAACATTGGTGAAGGTCAACAGCAGGAGCCTGACATTGTCCTTGTCAAAGAGCAGAACAGAGTAGCAGCTGTTGAATCCTCCCTCTTTGGGAGGATCTATGCTGACCCAGGAAAGATATCAAGGAAATCTAGGTCTATAATTAGTTTTATCTGATTTGGAAAGAATTGGTGTACCATATGTAATAAGGGGTTTGTAAAATCAGTGAAAAAATGTGTAATTCCTTCATGTGTTGTAACACTTTTTTATGAACTGTTTCCTATTAGTTACTGGGTTTTGTTTGTTTCTAGGAGAGAAAAAAAAACAAACCAAAGCTCTTAACTTCCTTTAGTTGACTATAGTGCGCTTGAACGTCGTTTGCTGTTAGGTATGCCACCTTTCAGAGTCTTTATTCGCCCCAACAGTGAACAGCTTCTTGACTTGTGTGTTGCAATTCTCTTACAGGGCTTTTTCAGGAGGAGTCAGCAAAGCAACGCTACATACTCCTGCCCTCGTCAGAAGAACTGTTTGATTGACCGAACTAGTAGAAACCGCTGCCAACACTGTCGGTTACAGAAATGCCTTGCTGTGGGGATGTCTCGAGATGGTAAGCTCTGCTAACACATAGCGTCGTGGCAAAAAGTAAAATAATGGTTAGTATACTGTTGTGCAACGAAAACAACATCGGATTTAAAAGTTAACCGTGCATCAGGCTGATAGTTGAGATCATCGAGTGGTTTTTACATGTTGCTATATATTCACATAAATATCTATAAAGCCGGGCATGTATGAAGTTGTTGGATTTTTTTTTTTTTCCTAGTCGTCTGTTATAGTTCCCAGTTAAGTGCTTTGCCTCTGGTCGCTTCTTGAAAATGCAGTTTTTAGTCTAATGTTAATACTTGCTCTGTGTGTTCTTTCCGATGTAAGTGACGTACTACAGTTGCAGGTAACGCTCTGATTGCCATATTGGTACACATCAGAACTGTTTCACAGTATACAGAGAAGTTTAAACGTGTGTATAATGAGTAACGGAAAAGATACAAAGAGAAAATAGTGCAGCATTTTTTCAAAGATGGGATTCTGAAGAAAATGTGTTGCAGTGCTGTTAACGTTAAGCTCAAAATTACACCTAGTGTAATGATGAAAACCCACCTCTGCAAAATGGAAGCTTATGTAACTCCATTAGAGCTGGATTTGCAGCTGATACTTGCACACCTCCCCCAGAGATGTAACAAAGCTGCCATCGCTCACCCGGTTTGAAGATCGGACTCAGTCTTTTCCCCGCCATAGTGTCAGCCATGCTACAGGTTCTACAGATACATATGCGTTACTCGGTGTACCTGAGGCCCGATTAAGGAGATTGTTTTCAGATTATGCTTACTTCTTGAATTACATTGTCTTAAATTTTTTTATTTGGGCATGAAACTGAAAACCTGAAACGGTTGATCAGGTAATGACTAGTCCCTCCGACATGTTTGCTTTCCTGTAGAGAAGTACAAGGTGGTAGTCGCCTTCCTAACCAGTGAGGCTTTTACAGCTGATACAGGTCCCAGAAATCACATAGAATGTTCTTAGGAATTCCCTGGATGTGGCAAATCAGTCGCTTCTGGCTCACACTTAATACTTCTCAAAGGAGCAGTATTTTTGTGGAGAGGTGTGTACACGTGTGCACGCACACGCCCACATACGTATAGTTTTAGTGGCAGTTCACCGGGTAAACGTTTTTGCTTGTCACAGTAAGCTGCACTGAAAGCAGGCGCCGTGATTTTTCCTGTGTGCTTCAGTCCCAACATCAATAAAGGTTGATTGTGATACTCTCTGAGATAGACCCCACATGTTTACACCGAACTGTAGGTTCACTTCGTAGTATGGATATACAGCTAGTAGGACTGGGACAGTTCCTCTCAGGCCAGTATATTCTGGTTAGCTTCTGCTTTTTTAGGTAGGATTTGAATTCTGAAGAGATGCATCTGTCAACTTCAGTGGACGTATAAGAGAAAATGGTTTTGGTACAGAAGGGGAAAGTTAATAAAGGAAGCTGAAACAGTGTCTTCTAATGGTCCATTTAAGTAGCCTGTTAAAATGGTCTTTTGAAGAGTAGATGCTGCAGCTGTGTTACCTGTGACTGACAGAAGTGATTCTCACGTCTGCTCATCCTGCTCATTTCCCTTTCATACCGTGTCCTTCTGTGTAGTAGTTAAAGACCCGAGGCACCTGAAATGCAGTGGTGGATTTGTAGAAATGTAATGTATTGTGTGTCTGTATTTCAGCTGTAAAGTTTGGTCGAATGTCAAAAAAGCAGAGGGACAGCCTGTATGCGGAGGTGCAGAAACATCGAATGCAGCAGCAGCAGCGAGATCATCAGCAGCAACCAGGAGAGGCAGAACCACTAACACCAACATACAATATCACCACCAATGGGTTAACAGAGCTACATGATGACCTCAGTAATTACATTGATGGGCATACCCCTGAAGGTAGCAAAGCAGACTCTGCAGTTAGCAGCTTCTACTTAGACATACAGCCTTCTCCAGATCAGTCGGGTCTTGATATTAATGGAATCAAACCAGAACCAATATGTGACTACACACCAGCATCGGGCTTCTTCCCTTATTGTTCTTTTACAAATGGGGAGACCTCTCCAACTGTGTCCATGGCAGAATTAGGTAATGAGAGAGAAAAGCTTCCATTGTAATTGTCTTAATAGTACCCTTTGGGTTAAAGTGACACCTGTAGCCAGGTGCTAGCGAGAATGCTGCTGCAGTGGCATTCTGCGAAGTGCACAATGCCCTGCTCGGGGCATGTGGTGAACGCCTGGCGGAACTGGACTAAAAATCCCAGGAGCTCGTGGTTGATCAGCTCTAGTAGTGTCGCTTTTGTTTGCAGTCCTTGTAATAGACTACTGATTAACAAGCGAAGTTTTAGCACTGAGCAAACAGACGGAGTATTTTTTTATTTTACAGATTATTTTTGAACATTTTATCTTCTTTTTCATTACCGCAATACTCTTTATTTTCTAACAAAAAGGGATGAGGCTGATTTTCTTCTGCTCTTTACCTGTATCTGGGAAATAGGAAACCAAAGCACCAGTCTAATCTGAGGGCAGTTCTTACCACTGGTTTAAGAGAATCTGGCCCCAGATACTTGAGAAAATTTTTTAATGTAGCAAGTTTTGATAATTTCTCCAAGAGCCCTATAACAACCACATTAATTAGCACATTTTACTTTAAACCCTTCCCTGAATGATTACACTAGGGCTGAATTCCACAACCATAACTTGTCGCCATCTGAGACTCTGGTTAGAGCGTGCTGTGTGAACTGGAACAGGACATTAGAGAAGTGACTTTAAGATTCTATTACTTATATAAGCAGGCATTTAAAACTGACTTTGCTTGCTTAAGCAACATTTTTGCTAATTATTCCATTATGAAAACTTAAAAATAGTTCGAAAAATCAGGTATTCCAAGTTAAATTTTTCTCTTTTTGCCTTTTTTTTTTTTAATTGGAGGCAAGTATATGATATGAAATCTTGCTTGTTTTATTTTGGGTTATGTTCTTTTGAGAAATTTTGCAGAAAGGAAGGGACAAGAGGACTTATTTCTTAATGTCCTTATGTTGCAGAATGCAGTTCTCGGCAATATAATTTGTTGTGACAGCCAAAGTATTGTGTCTGGCTTGAGTTCAAATACCTTCAGTTACAGATAAGTAAAAATGAGAAGAAAAAATTAGGATAAAGGCAATGCTGCCAGCTTTGTCTCCATCAAATGGTTCTTAATATTCTCATGGGAGTTACTGAAAGATCTATGTTAAACCCACTGAAAAAAAAGAAAGGGCTTTTCCTTCCTAGGCCAGGTGTTGAGTTCAGAACACTGGTCTGACGTGAGTTCGTCGTGTTGTTTGCCTTTATTGACACAGTGCTGGCGTTCAAACCCCACAGAACATGATTTGGGTGCCCAGCACTGACATTACCAAACAACATTTGAAGAACATTTGGCTTCCAGACTTAAGGTTTCCATTTAGAAAGGTGTGGCTGTTCAATGAAAGTATTTAGGTGTGTGCCGAAACACAGTCCAGAGCTGAGACCGAGGCTTGTGAATAACATGGTAATATTTCACCTTCTGTACCCTGCAAGGGCACAGCTGTAAGGCTCTCAGTTGCTGCTACTGAGAGCGTGTGTTTTAAGTACAAACTCGTAAGGAGAAAAAAATTGCTCTGAAATACATGAAAGCCATGACGACAACCAAAGTATAACCTACCTTATGTTATATATTATTGATTGCTCAGGTAGCATGTATGATCTGATTTTACCTCAGCTGCATGTTAAAGACTTTTCAGGTAGTACCCTACATCCAGCTATTAATGCAGGAGGTATGATACTAAACAGACCGACTGGTCCAGCAGTTCAGTTTGTGAAGAGCTGAGTTTGGTCATTACCAAACAAAGCAGGTTTCACAGAACGCCTAACGCTCAAGTCCCTCAGAATACTCCCATGCTGTTAATGACCGCTGTTCTTGTTCCTTTAAGCCTGCTGTTTCAGTGGCCTGCCCTGCAAAAGCACCAACTGCACAATTGTGCGAGACAAATCACCAGGCCTCTATTTGTCCCGTGCAAAACAGGAGAACAGACATGCATGAAGAGTCAGGGTAGAAAAGGGGGAGACAAAGTTGAAGTGGAATTCAGATGTCTGAATGCTATTCATGCTTTTGAAGGTGTTCCTAAAGGTTTATGGAATCAAGTTTCATTAATAAATATCAATCTGCCTTATGGGTCTTTTAACCAAGTATAGCAGCAGCAAATAGTTTATTTGGAATTCAAATGTTGTATGGGAATTTTAAATCATGTGCAGTGAACTAAGCGACTAGTCCAAAGCTGAAGAAAAAACCCTTGAGTCTTTAGTGCATTATATTAATTATCCCAATTCGCTAATAAGCGCATTTTCCCAATATATTTTCAATGATAGGAGAGTAGAAAAGAAAAGGAACTTTTCCCTCACGGGCAGCCTCATGTGATAGTGTCCTGCCTGACAGAATACTAGACAGCTGGTAACTATCTGTATAAAACACAAATGAATTCAGCTTTTGAAGATCATCTGCCTGGCTGGCAGTGGTGTTACATTCTCTGTACACGATACACAGTGTCCTGAATTCAGCAAGGCTGTCCCCAGGGAGATTCTGGTACCCGAACTTGAGGGGTCCATCACCTCGCTCGTTTGGATTTTTTCTGTGGCTCTACTTAATAGTGTAATTCTCAGCCCCGCTTTCAAAGCTGCTTTTATCTTCCTAAAGGCAGCCAAGGCCACATACTGAATTTGCAAAGGCTTGAACGCTCTCAGGTTTCACCAAGTTTGCCTTTATTTTGCCAGCTTTTTGATCTTGCGAGCTTTCCTTTGCACCCACTGCTGTGCAAGAGAGAAAGTCTGTCCCCAGTAGAAGTTTGTTTATTCAAAAATAAACCCAGGTTCACCTGAACATCTTGCACTAGTGGCAGGACTCTGTCTGGAGGTCCTGTGTGTGGCTCGGGGAGCTGCTGTGCGGGAGGGCACGGTGCGTGCCCAGAGTGCCCTCTAACGGGTAGCCACCACGTTCCTGCTTGGTTCTCCCCAAGTCTGTCAGCGGTTAGCATTAAATGTGTTTATTTTCATGAAGCAGAATCCAAGGAGATCTGAAATGAAAGCATTTTTTGCTAACAGCTAGCCCTCTCCCCGCCCCCCTGTTGCAACTGGGATATGTTAGCTCTCCTGTCTGAAGGCATAGCTTCGTGGTTTTAACGTGTGTCGCTTTCTGGTCTTTTCTTTTAGAACATCTTGCACAGAATATTTCCAAGTCACACATGGAAACTTGCCAGTACTTGAGAGAGGAGTTACAGCAGATAACATGGCAGACTTTTCTGCAGGAGGAAATCGAGAACTATCAGAACAAGGTATAAAAGCATGCCAGACTATGGCATGCTTTATTTAAAGCATGGTATTTCCATAACATGCTGCAAAATTCACTTTTTCACTGCTTTCTGTTTACTATCGTGTGTGTTTTCAAAAAAGTAATTTGCTAGAATCAAAAGCGGCAAGATGGTTAGGATATCCTTTGCATTTGTGATTTTTACAGGTACGGGAAAAGGCAAAGCCATACTCCTCAAATCAATCTGTCTGTGATTGATAAACAAGGATAAGTAACCAGAGGCATTTTTTCAATCCTAAGTGGCATGTTATTTTCACTTTTTAATTTGTAATCTCCCAGATCAACAGCAACAAAAAAGGCTGAAGGTACCAGGTTATGTGATTTCACATGGTGTGTTTTGTTTTGAGGTTATAAACACAGAACTCTGCCAGATTTCCAGCCTTTAGTGCCTGGTTGTAACCCTGATTCATTCGACAATTGTCACTCAGTGTTTCAGTGTTGCCTGTAGAACAGCAGCATGGTGCTGCCGTCCCACCAGTGGGTATTGTCAGATTTAATTGATGTTTGTATTTCCAACATGCCTCCCATCCACAAACTACTACCAAATGGCTACTTTTGGAAAACCATCTTGGGAAGCACTATCAGAGCGCACTGTTCTTTGAACATATTTTTCATTTCCACAAAAAAAAAATCTAACCTTTAAGAATAATTTTTTCCACTCATTAGGTAATTTCTTCTGAATTCTTATCAACATATGAAAAAGTCACTACTTGCATGCCCTTTTTATGTCATTAACAAGACATATCTTTACATGTGTCCTTACGAAGACGAGCTAGTTAGATAATTTCTATTCAGAACAAAATACAGAAGTTGATAGGAAAAACGTGATTATGCACTGCTAGTGAAAATTGGCCTTTTTCTTTTGATACAGCGAATAAAATTCCCACTGAAATGACCAGAATCATTATACTTTGACATTTTTGGCTTATGAAATAAAAATACTCCAACTGGATCTCTTCTGATCATCGAAGAACTCTTACATGTTTGCATTGTCACTCATCCACATGAGGCTTTGGCTTTGAGGTTAATTCCCCTTGTCTTACAAGCAGACTGTAGCCAGGAGTGCTGGAGAGAATTCACTCTGTTTTTTTTCAACTCTGTTTTACTTTGTGAAAATGGGCTTTCCAAATCCTTGATTAGTAATTTTTCAATTTTTCTTCTCTCTCAAACAGCAAAGGGAGGTAATGTGGCAGTTATGCGCAGTCAAAATAACAGAAGCGATACAGTATGTAGTGGAATTTGCCAAACGCATTGATGGCTTTATGGAACTGTGTCAAAACGATCAAATTGTGCTTTTAAAAGCAGGTATGTGGGTCACTTTTAAGGTCTGCTTCCATTAGTTTTGACTGAGGAAGGTCCTACCTGGATACAGTGATCATATACGTATGTTGTACAGTGATCATTTAGAAAAATACAAGGGAAAAACCTTACAAATAGTCTGTGTCTTTAAAGTACTATACCTTCTTAGTTACTCCAGATAGAACGAGTTCAAGCCTACACATGAAATTTTCATTATGAACAAAGGCAGCAATGAGTGTGTAAAGATGGAAAAGTTGGGTTCAATTTTTTTATTTTGGCTTACTCACAGTGAATAACAGATTTCAAGGTAAAAATCCAGGTTGTTCTAGGCAAGATGTTGTAGAAGTAATGCAGTTTACAAATGCTGGAGAAAGTTGTCAAAGCTTCGTGAACATAGATCTAAATGAGCTGCTTTGACTTCAGAGACTTCATGACTCTAATAAAAATTATTAGAGTCTATTAGTTGCTTTAGCAACAATTTCTAAAGGGGTTTATGAGAATTTTTTTAATTCGGCTAGCAAATCAACTGTGCTGTGTTACGCTGCAGAAACCTGCTACCCTACTTGATTGATACTGAATGCAGAGCATAGGAAATTTTTAAAACCTCACTTGCTCTTTGCAACTGAAGTCTCTACTTAAACAGTCAAACATACATTGTTTCTGTTTTAGGGTCTTTAGAGGTTGTGTTCATCAGAATGTGCCGTGCCTTTGACTCCCAGAACAACACAGTCTACTTTGATGGCAAGTATGCTAGCCCAGAGGTTTTCAAGTCCTTAGGTAAGGAAATGTCAAGTGTTGTATCTTAAAAAAAGAGACTAAAAATAATAAGGTGGAAAAGCAAGGGGACAGCGGCTTTGAAAAATCCAGGGTATAGTGTTCAAATAAAAGAGTTCCAAAGCTCAAACTGCTTATTTTGTAAGCAGTCATGCTGGCTCTGTTTGAGGCCAAGCTGATTTCAGGAAACAGCTTAACTCTATTCAGTAAAGGACTGTTGGTGTTGAAACTCAACACATAGATCAGGATAGAGCAGTTTGGACACACTTGTTGAGAACAGAAGCCCGGATTTCATATCTAGTGTAACACTTTATATAAACTGTTGGAAAAAGCAGCAGATTTTAAGGTAATTTTGGATATACTGACATTACTACTTTGGAGATGTTAATAGCATTTTGTAATATGCAAAGTCCAGTCATTTGCAGGTAAAATACTGTAAATATTTTTTTTTATTAAACCATAGTTTATCATTTTGATTTTTTTTCCCCATATATTTTTGCTAATTTTAAAAGGATGCATTTCACTGAGTATAGATTTGGGATGTAAGCCATTTTGGAGGGCAGTGAAAATACAGCAGCGGAGAATGCTGTACAATTACTGAAGTATTCTCTGCCTGTCTGAAACACCTCAAGGTACAAGGTCTGAGTGCAAACAGTTCAGAGAATGCAGTATCAGATGTGGGGTCCAATGAAACGTAACTTTCATCTGTTACCAGCTACATCCAGAAATTTAGGCTGGGTTGGGGCTGAGATTGCAGAGCGCACCCTCTTCCATCAGGTTGCAATCCACTTCAAAGCAAACTGCGTAACAGCATGTGTGACAGCAGCAGTAACCTGACTGACCCTGTGTGAGCAAGGGAATGGATGAAAGGGTCTCCTCTTCTGTTCCTTTTCTGCATGACAAGCTTTCAGACCTTGGCGTTTCCCTTTGCTCCTGCATGTAGCTTGTATGCCTCTCTTCGCCCCCCCGCCCCCTCTTGTGTGTGCTCAGTAGTCTTAAAATCAGCACTTCTCAAGTACACGTTTTGAACATCCAGTCCACAGCAATAGGAGAAAGTTCCATTTAGAACAGAAACAAAGCTAAATGAATTTTGACCTTGAAAATGGCTTGGGTTTTATCCACATTTACCCCAAAAGAACCACATGTGGAAAAGATACTGTGCAAAACCTTCAAAATACTGGCCGCCAGGGTGTGGGAGCTGGGGACACGTGGGAATGGGGTAATAAGCTCAAGCATGAGTGAGATCTCACTACGGTCACTCCACAGTCCTTAAGGAGAAGACCATTCACCTATGAAGTATTTTACATCCATTTTTCACCTCCATCAGAATGAATCAACAATTCTGTAGCTCTGAAGTAGTTTTAAACAATGTGGCATGAGCTGTACCTTCTTTTTGGCAGGTTGTGAAGACTTCATTAGTTTTGTGTTTGAATTTGGAAAAAGTTTATGTTCTATGCACCTGACAGAAGATGAGATAGCTTTGTTTTCTGCGTTTGTTTTAATGTCAGCAGGTAAGAGATAAAGGTTTGCTCTAGGTTTATTTGGTAGAGGCTGTTTTTATTTTTAAGTCTTTTTGATGATAACTTAAGACTGTTGGACAGTGTGAAGTATCATATTTTTTAGTGTCTCCCTCTTGACCAATTTTTTTTATCAATAAACACATTAAAACTATGAATTTAGGAATAAATTTGTTATGTTGGAAATCCTAATCTAAGCCCTTGTTTTCCAAAGTTCCACCTCACTGAGGACTCCCTTTGCGAAAGCTTAAATGCATGTGAGTGAGACCACTGGGTTGACCTCGGTGAGACAGGCAGAAGGCAGCCGCTGAATTTACATAGTCAGCTTTCAATGTCTATGAGCTTGCAGCTGTAGCAGAATTATCTCCAGCAGTGGCACCTCAGGTTGGTTAAGCAGGGTTGTTGCCATTTTAGTGTGGTACAAAGGTACCAAGGTAGCTTAGCTATCTGTCCCCATCGTGGGCACACTGAGAACGACAGTGCCGGACATACGAGTCACCCCAAGAGTCAGCCTGGGTCTGCCATACCCATAACTAAAATAACGTCATAATCTCAAGTAGACAGGCACCGTACTCCAGGCTCTGGGAAGGCTCACTGGGTCAGGTGGAACAAGGTACTGGTGCAGAAAGTCAGGTTGTGTCTGGCATAACACCCAAGGAAATAAACGCTCTGTTTTTAGACTGCAGCAGAGTGGACTCGGGAGTGGTGGCAGAAGAGTCTGTTAGCAACAGTGGCTTTATGGAGACCATCATAAATACATTCTCATGCTGTTTGCCCGATCGGAAGTATGTCAGCCCTGTGTCTGAGTACTTCAGTCACAGAATCCCGCAGTTCTGCTGCACAGAGGTGGTAGTCACTAATACTACTTTTCTGCTAGGAAGTGTAGAAGCTTCTTTTTTTTTTAAATAGCTGAATATTTGATTCTGATTTTTCTGTATATTACTGTAGATCTTGGCAAGAAGATCCACTCCCACTTCTTGTTCATTATGTGACCTATTCATTTCCCACTAAAAAGTTGCTAGCTTCATTTTGGAAACGTGCTGCGTTGTACAGACCTTGTAGGCAAATGATCGATAAGTCTTACCCAGATAGACTACATTCTTCTAATTAAGGGCTTTATAAAAGTAATTTTAAGTGTGTGTAATAAATATACTCCAAGACCTATTAATCTTGAAACTCGTTTTCTGGGTATATAAGAAGTGGAAGGAAGGTTGCAAAGAAGAAAGATGACTCTGTAACAGACATAGTACTTCCTGGTGCACTGTGATTGATGTGTGCAGCACTAGAGGTGTTAACTCCATTTATATTTAGATCGCTCATGGCTTCAGGAGAAAGTAAAAATCGAAAAACTCCAACAGAAGATCCAGCTAGCACTTCAGCATGTCCTACAGAAGAACCACCGAGAAGATGGAATTCTAACAAAGGTAAGAATCATACTGTGCCACGACACATGACTGTGAAAGCATGCTTTCTTATGAACGGTATCCTAACTACGGTGTTCAGCTTTTACACAGTTAATTTGTTATTTATAAACCCAAAATTCTTTTATCAACATCAAGGTGCTTAGCTGAACTATTTACTGCAAACTAGAAGAGGCGAAGTAATGATGTACTAGGGAACAAGGCTGACAATGGTCTGAAAAGAAGTGTTTTAATGTTGAACTTCATGAAAAGCAATGGAAGTTTTTATCCTATTTCTCCTACACAACATTTCTGCCACACAGAATACTATTTCAGTTCTACAACACACATGCCTTAATCCTCATGAAATCTCTGCCTGCATAACAACTAAGTTGTTATAACATGCAATACCCAAACTAACCTTGTTTTTCAGTCTTCCTGAGAAGTTCCCCACACGGCCTTTTTCTCAGCAGTTCTTCCAAATACTGATGCCAGGGGGGGCAGGGGCGAGGAAGAAATGCTACGTACCATTATGCTAATTGAAAGTGTCCTCACGTAATTTTTCACAAAAGGAAAAGGTGGTGTGATGTTAATAAAAACAAATCTGAAGAACTGGGGAAGGATAGGTAGGCACTTCCTTACAGAGGTTGTTCCTTAGAGCCCTGCACAGCCGGAAAGCTTATGCTTAGTTTCACACCCCAGAATTATTTACAAGAGAAGCAGGATGGTCCAGCCCAGGCTTTGCCGATTGTCCTCGTTTCAAATCCTAGCTCGTATTTCTTTTCCCAGCGCATGCTTAGGATACCTTTGTTGTAAGAAAGTTTCTTGCATGTGCTTTGGTCTTGTTCCATTTACTCGGTAAGTTCAGAGAGTACCCTAGTGATATTTTTGATGTACAGGTTTTTTCGGTCTATTCCTTTTCATCTTATTTGGCATAAATTAAAAAGGCCTAATCTATTGCATTGCCACTTCCCTCCATAATATTCACAGTGGGATTAAAAGTAGTCAGGACTGCCATCTTCCACGAGAATGGGAAGTTGCATGAATGAAGATCCAGCCATGAAATACTTCTATGTGCGAGGAAACCTAATGATAAATTTCCCTAGGAACTTAAAGAAAAGATTATTTCACAATTAGCATTAATCCATTACTTAAATAATAGCTTTTTAGTGGCTTGCTTTTTTTTTTTAATCTAACATAACAAACATCCACGGCTACACACCTGAAATGTCATCGTTAAGGTAAACAACTGAAGTGAACTCAAAGCGTTGGGAGAACTTTAATCCTAAGAGCAAGACTGGGAGGCCTGGTTCCATAAATGACCGTATGACTTTTGTTCATTTTTTTACAGTTAATATGCAAAGTGTCTACTTTAAGAGCACTGTGTGGACGACATACAGAAAAGCTTATGGCATTTAAAGCAATATACCCAGACATTGTACGACTTCATTTTCCTCCACTTTACAAGGAATTGTTCACTTCAGAATTTGAGCCAGCGATGCAAATTGATGGGTAAACGTATCACCTAAGCACTTCTAGAATGTCCGAAGTACAAACATTAAAAGAAAGGAAAAAAAAAAAAAAAAACAAGAAAAAAAAAGAAAGAAAACCAAGACACTTTATATGGCCCTGCACAGACCTAGGGAGCCAACACACTGCACATCTCTTGGTGGTCGGGGTCAGGCGAAGGATGGGAAACAATGAAACAAAGTTGAACTTGTTTTTCTCATGCATATGATTTCCATTATGCCTACAAATATGGACCCTTTTTCTGTCTCAACTTCTCAATCCGTGACCTCTGTTTACAGACTGAGGGTACTGCTGTCAGAAGGTTGTTTCTTCTTGTAGTTCACTGCCCAGACTTTTGACAGAACAATCAATTTGTTGATCAGAACAGAGAGTCCACCTAGTAATCAGCGACTGGTGTGCATTGCAGAGAGTCAGCATCAGTTTGCACAACTTGCTCATTGTTTCATGAAGGACGATTTTTTTCACCTACCACTGTTTGCCAGTAGACAGAACGGCATGAAAAGGGTCCATAGCAATAGCAACAATAGCATTATAATATATTACAGGGTAAATGGGCATGAAGACTATATATAGCAAAAGAGATATTGTTTATATATTGTTTTAATTAATATAAAATGTAGTTACTGGTATAGCTTTTCTTGTTGAATCGATAAGGCACTTTCATTTTGCACCTTTTTCTTTAAATTAAATGCTAGCGTGTTCATTGTTGTGTTGCATGTGCACCAGAAATTCAAGTTTAACTGAAAAAGGTTTGGCAGGTACTGGTACATTGGGAGGTATTTATGCTGCTGTTTTCCATGTTACTTTTAAAGAGAGGCTGGTCATATCCTGAAATGGTTACAGATTTTTTTTAAAGAGTTGAAAATAATGACAATTTTCTAAATGAAAATCAGCTTTTCAGCTATTAAATTCAAAGGTACTTTTATTCTCAAATCTTTCAAACCTGGATGTTTAAAATTACATGCCTAAATTCAAATTTAGGTGCACAAGTCAAAAGCTTAATTTTCAAAGGTGCTGAGTTTCCATGGTCCAAGTTAAGCTAAGCAATCACAGATCATTTACAAATGAGTAACTCAGCATCTTTAAAAATCAGCCTATTAAATAAAGTGTATTTCTGCCCACCGTAAATCCAGGTTTGAAGGTATTTACTCAAGTCTGTATCTACAGTAAAAGTATGTGTGTATGACATGTATGTGGAAAAGTAATTTTTATACATAATATTACATACTTTTGTACTCCATATCGTAAACAATGCCTTCAAACTCCAAACCTTAGCCTATCAAAATCCGTAGGAGGTTCATCTTTGATTGCAGTGAGATGAGACACTGACCCATGTTCTTCCAGCATCCAGCAGTTCAATTTCAGGTAGCGGAACAGAGAAGTCCGTTGCTCTCCTTGTTTAAAAAGATGCACTTTAAAGTTTATCAGATGAGGACAGACTAACAAAGCAAAGGCACACTGTTGCTAGAAAGCATTGTTTTCTACTCTGGATGGAAATCATTAATGTCATAAATCTGCATTCTGTAGTTATGAAATTGTGATTTCCCTACTGCCTAACCAACCAATAAGCCAAGTCCTGCAGTCTTTATTATTATTAACTGCCTTTCCCTTTAGGAAGGTTACTGTCTCTGAGCAAACGTGGCAAGGAAACCTAGGTCCGAAGGAAGCAGATTGACAATAAACGACATCACAAATAAAGTGTGGCTGTTTGAGCCAGAGGCGCACAAACTGTTTTGGATGAGATGAAGGTGTATAACTGGGTGCTTGTAGGCCTACACAAATGAAGTTTCTGATGAAATACATAAGAAAAAGCCAGGGACTTTAAAAGAGAAAAAGGAACGAGACAATATGCCCCACCGCTTTAATTTCCAAGGATAGTCTCTTACACCTGTTATAGTTGTTGAGAAGTAACAGAAGTGAATAGAAGCACACTGAAGCCTACCTATTTAAAAAAGGAGAATTAGGTCAGTGCGTTATTATAAGCAAAACAGAGGTTTAGTCTGTGATTGGAACATGTTTCCTTTGGGGTCAAATTGAGACATTTAGCTGTGACCCCTACTAAAACTTTGATAGTCTGCCACATCAGGGAAGCTATCACTCATCTATGGTTTGAAAGGAGGGGAAGATGAGCATCATAAGTTTCCCGTCAAAGCAGTGTGCCCCCAGAGTACAGGAGGGGAAGGCCCGCACCTCCCTGAGCACTGGGATGGAAGCATGAGGGCTTTTGGAAAAAGTCCACAGAGCCGTCATTTCGCTGCTCCATCCTGCCTGCTCCCAAGGAGGCGGCGCCCAGCCCAGCCCATGGTCTCTCCAGTCTCACTGAAACACTTTTCCCAGAGTCATTGTTTACTTTATTGGAGTAACTGGCATGATATGGTACTTTCATTCTAATGTGTGTTCCTATTTTTAAAGCAACCCTTTCAACTAACAAATGGTTTCTGAATGTGACCAGCCTTGGGTGCTAGTCCTGTAAAGATCAACTAAACTTAATTTCAGTGTCAACTAATGAATAATGAAGTGAGACCTGTACTTTTTTAGAGAGCGAGATACAACTCCTACTTCTGACAATAAGTAGACTACCAGGCAAAATATCCGGGGTTAATTTTCAGTCACATCCCTTTTCTTACCCTTTCCTGACGAGTATTAGTACTTTACCAGGCATCGAGGTGCCAATGGTTTTGTTTGGTATCTAGTTCAGCATATTTACACCTGTAAGTCACTGACAACACAGACTGTTGGAGCATTTACTAATAAAGTACATAACCATAAAAAGGTCCAGATGGGGCCTTAGCTGAAAGCCGTTTGTGATCTTCCAGGCCAGAAAGTGCTCTCGGTTTGGTCCGTGGGAGCTCCTGTGTACTGGCACCCTGTTAAATCAGGCTGTGTGTACATACCCTGGGTAACAGCCACTTGGCAACAGAACATTATTTTTGTTCTGCTCTCCATAGAGAGGGGAAAAAAGGGATACAGCATGGCAGGGGTGCTGGTAAGAGTTCTGTTGCCAGGGAGGCTTTTATGAAAGGGCATGTCGAAAAACATCAGAGGGGCTGGTCAGAGCAATGGCCACGTAAGAACCCAACGCACTCTGCAGAACCTCTGGGACTCTGGCCGGGTATCAGATGATCAAAGATTCAGTTAAAAACCGTATTTGGGGTCAGTGGATATTCACGTGAATATTTTCATAATCTGCCCAGTCCACTACAAACAAAACCATGAGGATAGCTGAAGATAAAGGAGTGATATATTGGTTTTGAGTTATCTGTTGTGCCCTGAAGTCTGCAAAGAGATGTTCATTGGGTGTCACATCTATCCACAGAGATGTTTTCTGGCTTTCTAGGAAAGAGATACTATACTATGCTGCCCTTTGAACCACCCTAATATCCTTCAACATCTCCAGCATTGTTTGACATTTTAAAAACTATGGGATTAGGTGAAAAGGGAGGCTGTTTTTAAGTTTGGTTGTTCTTTATGAAAGCTTATCTATCTTAGTACGGATACCAAGATATCTGTGTGTGTATGTGCACCTGTGTGTGTGTGTGTGTGTGTGGGAGAGGGTACATTTGTGTGCACACAGGAATATGTGCGTGGGTACGTGAGTGGCTGCTTCTAGGCTGTTAAGTGTCAATGGAATAAAGAAAATGTGTTCAAAATACTTAAGTCAAAAATAGAAGGTGGAAAAAAGATTTATTCTATACAAAGCCTTGTCTGGACCACTTTAGAGAGACTTCTATTTTTTTAACCCTTCTATAAATGTTTGATGGCACTTGAAATATTCCTGCAATAAAATGTGATTTGTGTAAACATTAAAAAAAAAATTTTGTAATGTGAAACAATGAAAGAAAGTAATGTAATTTTTCTAAAAAACTAAAAAAAAAACAAATGAACGAACTTTGTATTATTTTCTTGATGGAATTTGTCTATTTGTCTTTGGAAAACTTTTTATTTCATTGAATGTGCCATAGTAGAGGTGTGTTTTTCTTTTTCTTTCTTTTTTTTGTTTTTCTTTTTTACATTTTAGATTAAAGGAATAGCTGTGTTCCGACATTCCAAAATGCAAGATGACATAGCAGTCATGATTAAAAGGTTTGATTAGTAAGCTTCAATCATTGTTGCTTTTTTTGCACATGTTCTTCATTCCTCTACAGTGCAATATGTACATAGAGCACTTGCGGGTGTAACCTTGATCCCTCAGGGAAAAATACATATTTGTACAGGATTTTTTTTTTTTGCCTTTTTTTTTTTTTTTTTTAGCTAAGGAATGTCGATTGAATCACTTGTCTGTTGTTGAGGGGCAGCCAGATAATAATCCTAAACCACTGTCACAAAACATTGATTGTTTAAATTTTGTGCCCTTTTATTATTTAAAAAAGAAAAATAAAAATTATTTTCTGACAGTTCTTTGTGCTGATTGGTGAAAAAAAGGGTAAATAGATAAGCACCTTATGATTGACTTAACTGTGAATGACAATCCATCTCGTTATCAACAACAGAAGCCCTATCATTTTGGAGCTGGGGTTAAGAGTCAGAAACTAATGTGCTCAGGGATCTTCTAAAACTCTTCAACAGGGTGGCCAGTACTACTGGTGGAACAAATTACTTTTTAAAAAACACGCTTGTATTTCTTCGCTTCCCCCCACCCCCAGGCACAAGAGGACTGGATATTTTTTTTAACTAAATGCTTGATGCGTGCCTCATTCTCTTATTCAGTTTTGCAGTAAGCTGCTCTTTGGTCTTGATTTTTTCCAAAACAAAAGTACTCCAAACAGCGCAAAGGTTTTGCAAAATTATATTTTAGAAAATAAATTTACGTTGACCCATTAAATAAATGATTGAAATTCATTTCAACACCCTCTGGACATTTTGATAATGATAGAACTATTTTTCCAGCTGAATTTCAGTGTTTTGCAATAGAAAATGGGTTTTCCATATTTAAATTATTGTCAAAGAAAACAAATAGTTTATGATAGTACAGTAAGAATGAAAAGGTAATGACTACGTTTGGGCAATGAAGTCATATAAAAAGGAACATAGATCTGCAGGAATACAAGAACAGCACTTCAGACGTTGTCTGTTGTTGTGCATATGCTTCACGGTGAGGCAGAAAACCTGACTGGAAAGAAACACTGAGGCCGAAGAGATGTTTTCGTATCTAGAACATCAAATACAGCAACTCCAAGTGATTACAATGGCACCAAACTCAGCAATGTCTAGGAAGTCTCCAAGTGCCAAATTGTAGGATTCTGTAAGCTTGTCCCAATTAGCCTTGGTTTATGGCTTCACGTTCCTTTGAAAATGCAAGTAGAAAAGTAAATAAGCAACTACAGACAAAATGAGCAGGATTTCAAGACTTTGGTTCAATTGGGAGAGTGAATTTCTCCCTCTATCATGTCTGTCTTCTTGCAAAAAGCATCAGTTCTCGGGTATCTTAGGTTATTGAGGGTTTTTCCACAGGGAATATGGCTTCCAGATGTTTAGTTTAGGTTGCTTAATAAATAGGAAAGCCTTTCTTAGGGTTTTACAAGCTGACCGTCGAGTTGAGACTGGAATGGCCGTCCAAGGCAGACAACTGCTTAGCAAGTATGACCTTGTGATCAGTTTGTGTTCTGGCATCTGCAGTAGAAGAAAATTCCAGTTGCTGACTCGCAGTAGAACCTACTCTTCACATACTTTGCATATCAATTAAATGTACTGCTAATATGCACAATCTATAAGATGTTTTAATTCTGTAGCGGGGCAATCCAAATTTTTTTTTTGATTGGCATAGATATTCCCCAGTCTGTACTTGATGAACAAAACT